AAAAAAAAAACCCCCAACCAAACCCACACACACACACACATGCACACACACACACATGCACACACACACATGCACACACACACACACCTTCTTTCTGGTTTTTTGCTTCCTTTTCATTCTCTTGGTTGTTGTTATTGTTGCTGCTGCCGTTGTCCTTTTTGTGAGTTAAAATTTAGGTTCAGCTCTAACTGTACTGTACATGTTTACTCCATTATTTGAATGAAGTGTGTGGGTGGTCGCCGGGTACATGTGCTGACTGTAGTGTGGTGTGTTCCTTCTTTCCTATCGAACATCTATTGTCCTTGTCTATCCTCCTTTTTTGTGTTTGCTAACCTCTTGTAGCATCACCTCTAATCTTCAGCTGGCACTTATATATATGACATAATGTGTGTTGCAAGTCGCTACTTCAGACTTACAAAGCTCCATCTGTTCAGTACCGAGTTGGGAGAAATTTGATGTAGTAAAAAATGTTGAGTTTTGCAACATATCCGAATTTTTCAAATGCAATTCTTCAAACATCTTGAAAACAACTCGGAATAATCCTATGATTTTGACAGAGCAGATAGAATTATTATTTAATTTGGTTTCTGACCTCTCTACTGTGCATGAACGTGAAATGTCCCCCCTTTGGGAATGGCCTAAAGACAGTAGTCTCTCTACAACTCGCAACCTCAGCCACCCCTCCCGACTCTTCTTTCTTTTCCAGTAAGGTATTTATACCTGTCTGTCTAATAATAAACAGTTCTGTCTTCTTTTCAATCAGTTTTTCGCAAGGTCCATTCTGAAAAGATTATACATCAATATTGATAACTTCGCTTTTCAAAAAGAAAAAGGGAAAAAAATTTAGGTCATAACGTAATCCAGAAACACATGCACACAAAATCAAATAATCGTTAACCCTTTTCTCGCATTGTCCAAGACAGCACCACGCTGTTGAATAGGATCAAACAGCAAGCGTTGGTGTGAAAAGGTTAATGAATGCTTGACCATTCTTCACGCTCTGCCTGGCCAAAACCAGTGAATTACTCGACAGATCAAAGCGGATTATTGTATTAGTCCAGGTCAAGAGACAAGTATAAGTATTTTATCTGGTAATCGCCCTGTAGGCTCGCCGCGCGATGGTCAGCCAAACCAAGGGGTGTTAGTCCGGCTAAGAAGCCTGGGATGTAGAAGGCGCCAACTGTCCAGTCGTGAAAGAAGAAATTTATTATGCGAGTGGCGAGCGCTGGATAGGGCTGTGCACTTTATTACTATTAATAATGGTATTATTATTGGTGCTGTTTGCCACAGAGGGTGAATTAGTGGAGTAACAAATATATAAGATCTGAAGTGTTATTCTTTTTTCTTTTTGGATCTATTGACGAATTCAGGTAATAACAAAACCAAACGTTAATTTGAGGTTACTAATTAATGTTATGATTTATTGTGTTGTTATTATTACTACATGGATTGTTGTTGTTATTGGTGGTGGTGGTTGGCTTGCTACTGCTGTTATTGATGCCATCACTTGACAGGAAAAGAAAAGAGAATGGATTGTGCTGTCATTATATTTGGCCTTTTATTTTGAGCACATATTGGCAATTTGTGCCGTAGGCTGCGGGTCAATACTGCTACTTTTGAAGAGTTTATCGTAAAAGATGCGGTAGACGTACTGTCAACATAGTTTTAAAAAGATTAACATCAACAGCAGCAGCAATTACAGTAACATAGAAAGAGAAACACCTATAGCAGTTTTAGCGTAACGTAAATATTTGCAAGCGGATAGAGTCAACAATAATTTATCTATATAAAAGAGGCACCAGCCATCCATGCCTAAGTACTGTTTAGCCCAGGCGGTTAGACTCATAGAGGGCGCTATATTAGGTGCAACTTCTTGGCTCACTTGTTCGTGTTTCTGTTGGCCTGCTTCTTGTCCTATCTCTATTATTTTGAACATTGAAAATGTGACTTCTTTTTAAGCTCAGTCTTTGTTACGAACTATTTTCACTGTTATTGAAAATGGAGATGTGGCAAGAAAGCACTGAGGTCGCGATCGAGTGACTGTAATTGTATCATTGAGCTTCAACTATAACTACTGGTAAAAATAATAATTTAAAAAAAATACATTAGTTGCAGAAGTTGGACAGACACATGCCACCTCAACAACACATTGCTCACCAGATCTTACGTTTGATATTTTATTTGTACAGTCGGATACTCCCCCTCCCCGCCAACCTTGTTATTCAGCGTACTTGTTTTAAAGAGCACCACAAACCTACAGTAAAATTCCATATCTTTCTTAAAGTTCCCTTTCTGTCGGTCTCTTTTGAAATGAGCCTTCATTGTCATTGAAACTATCGCCCCCAACTAGACACTATGTAAGGGATATCAAACTAAGAGCTAATAGTCTCCCAATAAACCGCGAGGCGGAAATGAAACCTTCCAGAAAAACAACAATAAAAAACAAGATGAATATTAAATTGGACACAACTTGGATGTGACTGGACATTCGGTCTTCTAAACTTTCAGCCCCTACAGCCAACGAAAGGTGAAGTTAAAGAGTGGAACACTTTTTTGTCGTGTTCTCTTTGCGCTGGAAAAGTGTTATAATCATAGGTGGGAGATAAATCGCGACCTCAGATTTAAAAAGTTCTATCCGACACTTTTGGCTGTTTTGAGTTACTAAGAGCACGAGGCCAGAAACCAAAATATTGTTCTATCTTCTCTATCAAAATCGTAAGCAAGATTATTCAAAGTCGTTACCAAGATATGACATATCCAAATAATTTCATTCCAAAAGAACTTGACATGATGTGAAGCTCAAAATTGTTTGACATCAATTTTTTCTCCAAACTAAGCACTGAGCAGATAGAACATAGCCCTTCTGAGGCAGCGAAGTAGAGGGGAGAAGTTATGAAGAAACTGAAAAAGAGTTAATTTGGACACGACCATATTATTTCATTTATCATACCGACAAGTCGATCTAAGAGAAGTTTTTTTTTCTTTCTTCTATTTTACAACTTATCTAGTCTGGTCTGTCTTATCATCTTGTGTCTTAACGATTGCAATCAGAATTCGTCCTAATATTTCATTCTAACCCCTATTAGCAAACCTACACCGTAACGTTTTATTTCATGTGCACGTAAATTACACGTGTACCAGCTCCACTGGCAGAGTACTGGTAGTGAGTTCTCAAAAGAAAAGGGAAGACTGAAGGTAGAACAAAAGAGGCAACGAGTGAAAGAACGAGAGAGTCTAGCTAGGAGGTAGGAAGGATGAAGGGAGGTAAAGTTAAAGAGTAGGAACATTTCTTTGTCGTGGTCTCTTAGCGCTGGCAAAGAGTTATAATATGTGGGAGATAAATAGAGAGTAAAAATTAGGAAGAAACTGAGAATAAGTTGATTTGGAGACGAACATCGATATACTTATTAATCATAGCCACACGCTGATCTATGTGGGTTTTTTATTTCCTTACTTCTTTTTTATGTCTTATCCTATCTTGCCTGTCTTATCAGTCTAGTTCCTTAACGAATGTCACCAGAATTCATCATATTTCATTCCTAAATTAGCAAGCCTTATTCTTCACGTTTTATTTCATGTAGGCCTACCGGCATTTACACCATCAGCTCAACAGGCAGAGTACAGGTAGAGAATTCTCAAAAGCAACGGGAAGACTGAAGACAAAGCAAAAGAGACAGTGACTGGAAGAACGAGTAAGTCTAGCTAGGAGGAAGGGGGCGAAAGAAGAGGAGAAGGAGGCGAAGGAGGAGGAGGAGGGAAGGAGGGAAGGAGGGAGGATCGTCCTCACAATGGACCCGTCTCGGCCGGTGGACAAGCGGGACTCGATGAGGCCTGACCCCCACACACTGGCCGCCACCTACAGGCTCAGGCTCATGCCCAAAAAGAGGAACATCACCTTGGTCAAGGTACGTCTTTTTAACCCTATCCGTACG